ATGTGTCAGACATTCACTGGAGCATTAAAGCTACAGCTTTCGCCACGGTTGGAAGCACCACGGGTGAGACATCAAATCCTAACATCTGTACGTCGGCAATGACAGCAGCCCAATCTGTGTGAATCGAGGAATTCCGGGTAAAAATGGAAGGATTTGTAGCAGGATGGGGCAGAGAATGCTACTTGGTGTGCTGAACAAATGGTCTAACATTGCAGACACCGATGTCAACCGGTCTTGAAGAGCGGGTGGAATGCTCGTTTGGGCTTTGCCCCCAGGCACTAATTTGGTTGGATGAGATGATTCACGATAGATAACAGTGTATTATGGCCCATTGTACCATCTGTTCTCATCGCAGTATCTTCATACGCTAAGCGTTAATTAGGCGCAAACAGGGTGAAGTTGTGAAGCCGAATCAAGTGCAGTTAGAGTCTGCGACTCAACCGGTCAAGAATCTCAGTAATCATGAATGTTAGAGACAAAGTTGATTGCTCACCTTGCGCATATAACGTGAGAGTCGCTTGGATGGCTATGTAGACAGCGTTAAACCCGTATTTTTCGAACATAACTTCAACCATCTTCTCCCTGTTCTTTAGAGGGTTCAGCGGCGGTTCCGTCAGTAGGATCTTCGAATGTTTGGGATCGACATTCATCTTCTTTGGGCCAAAAATGTAGTCGTAGAGGAGTATCATATCATCCCAGTTACGGACAATCCCATTCTCCATGGGGTACGAAATTTCCAGAAGCTGACGAAGTTCACTCGCCTCATCCCCAATCATGATATCCTGCACTTCAACATTCCCGATTTTCGAAGTAGCCCGAAGCATAGGGCGGCCAATCATCGAAGGGAATATATGTTCAGGGAAGTTTGACCCGGCATAACCACATTTAACGAACTGAAAACCGAAATTTTCTTGTATTTATATTCTGACACTCCTACCCCAGTTCCATTGTCACACACTATGATCTTATCACCAGATCCGTCTGTGGCCATGACCGATCGGGAAAAGCAACCGAGGCTCGGCTGAGAGACAGGTTAATTGTTAGGAGTTGATTGGTCAAGCTCTGAAGGCATTTCGCGGACGACCTCGAAGTTCAGTCCTTCTAATCAGTTTCACTTGGTAAGTCGGTTAGCAGTAGAATATAGTGGGTATTCTGTTATAAGTGTATTCCCCTCAGTCTGGACCAGATAATCGGGTTCCGACTCCGTTTGCATACAGGAGGAACAGCACCCATGGGTCATTTTGGCCTAACATGTGTCTGTAGTATTTTGTATCTTTCTTTTGCTACGACCGTAACATTATGTATTTTGTCTATTGCATAACTGTTTTTTGTTTGAATACGCTGAAATACAGAAACGCGCACTTGTAGAATTCCACGCAATACAAATGTCGTCACGCGATTCTATTCTCCTGATCTCTCACGCGCTTACAATGGTCATTCGCGAGTCACGTGCTAACTCCGGTATCATAACATTTCAGAATACCTTCAGAATCTGTATATGAGAACTGTTCAGAAGAAGATACCTGGACAACTTTGATGGGATTATTGTTCATTCGCTGACCTGAGCCAACGACGATTATTTTTAAAAGAATGACTCTTAGTGACTGCTCCATCTGACCTCTTTATTATTGTATGCACAAACTAGTGTTATTGTTTTTATTTCTTTGTCATACACTCCTGGTAAATTTGCTTTTTGCGGTAGCCAAACCACTGATTTCCGCTTTGTGACTGCATATGCAAGCTTGTCAGGAAAGCAGCTCTCTTCATTAATCGCGGTATCTTCCAATGTAGTCAACGAAACCCGATAGACTGTAATTGTCCTTTGCAGCTAAAGCCGGTGATGTTTTGTAAACAACCCATAAAATTTTGCCAATGATTCTTCTAGATTCCTGCAAAGGCGCCGTGTGTTATTCTCCATGTAGGTTGGGCCACTGATCAATGCATCCACGGACTGGTACGCGGGACGGAAGCTTTTGTACAAGTTTCCAGGGTCCGTTAGGTTCTTTTCGTTCGTCGGTTTCCGGGCACTTGAATGGCATATGTGGCCAAAGGGCGAAGCGCCCTCCTCCAGATCCTTCGCGCTGGGTGACAGGCTTGCTCAAATAAGGACACCCGAAAATCATCTGTGGTGAACATTGACTCAATTCTATTCATTCTGTTTAGTGTATTTTTACATGCCTTTGTTTTACGGTGCGATTAATAGTACGCCCGCGACATACGAGAATATACAATATTCATTCGTCCATATTCGGACTTCTATACTACGTGTACATTCGGTAGTTAAGATACCTACCACTATTCTAATTATCACATTTGGCGTCGCGGTCCGGAATTTTTTTCTCTTCATCACAATGTTATCAAAATGTTATAGCATTTTATCTTACTGCTGTTTTAAACATTTGGCGGGTCCGGAATTTTTTTCTCTTCATCACAATGTTATCAAAATGTTATAGCATTTTATCTTACTGCTGTTTTAAAACCGACAGACACATCTGTTAGAGGTATCACTGGACATGCTTTACCGCTTCTTGGTTCGTGTACTATACCAGTCAAAGTTTCCAGTGGTAACTTTGTTGATTGTAATTTTCTTGTATCGAATTCTGGTCCTTCAATAA